GAAAAAACCTGAATTTGAAACTTTCTTTGACCTCCTAGCGCTTACCTATTCGCCAACGGCACCACCATCAGAAATGACGACAAAAGCTAAAAACGACAGAGAAGAGGGAAGACCCGCAGCGAGCAGAGGGAACCGGAAAACAGAAGGTGCCGCTGAAAATTTTGTCTAATTGTTGTGTTGTCGCGTCAGACGATGCGTTAAGAAAACGAAACCCGTGCGCTTAACATCCAACTCAAAGGAAATTATTGAAACTGGGCAGCATAATTAAACATTTTTATCTCACCAACTATCGTTGAGGAGTTAACCAATTAAATCATCATCATGTGAATTTTTTTGTCGATTGCAAGTCACAAAAACATTCGACTTACGTTGAGCAAGGTAATAAAACGGTAAGTAGATTGTGATCGCACAGTCTAGAGTCATCATCCATCACCAGTTTTTCATATTGAACTCTGTGAAAGGCTTTTTCCCTTCGCTGTTGATAGCCTATAGTTTCAGAATTTTGGTCAGCAAAAAGGCTGATCCGCGTCAGTCTCGAAGAAAACCACACCCAATTTCAGACTAATTTCCCAAGTTCGAGTAACACGAATAAAGTGTTTATCTCCTGCTCTCTTGAAGATGAGTCAATGTGGGCTAAAAAAAACCAGGGTCGTAATGAGGAGTGGCCTTATCATACCTCCCTATCCAACTTTTATGACAAGGCATTTATTTTTGAGATACGAGGGAAACCAACTCCTTGTACTTGATTGTTTAACTGGGTAGATGCGTTCATCTTTTGACAGGTGTCAATGTACTTGCTGTGGTGTTACCCGTGATATTAAGCATTTTGATCGCTGCCTTGGGTGTATTTTATTGGAAAAGGTGAGAACGAGCTCTAAACGGGGAAATTCGTTGTCTAGCGACGGCATCAAAGAACTTGAAATGTACAGGTTTAACTCATGAACAAGACATGAAGATGTTTATACGATATTTACATTGTATAACGATTAAACTCTTACCTATGGTTTTCTTTCCTATGATGTGACTTTGTAAACTTGTTTTTAAATAGGAGAGCTAAAAGGAATAAGGACATCAACTCAGTCGCATTTCAAAAGTGAGTAGAAATCATTTCTAGTTTTGTTTGTTTGTTTGTTCGTCTGAAAGAAAAAACGTCTTAGCACATCTTTCTTAGTATACTGACTGACTCACAGACCATTTACTTACGTTAAATATGGTGTACTCCAGTTCTTTATAGGACTTTGGCCTTCACAAAAATCTATTGATAAACTCATCCTATGCACACATCTCTGCAAGCATATCATTCTATGGTTTTTTCCTGCACTTGACGTCTTTACTTGTGATTTTCCAATCACAATTTTTAACTTCCAAAACGAACACTGCTGATGATTGATTTGGTCCACTGTCAGGTGTAAACTGACAGTGTAAAGTCACTTTTAAGAGTCGTTATTACAGTTTTTCACGTTATCTGCTTTTATTTTTTGCAGGGGAACCGATGAATTAAACTATGCAGTTAACAGAATATACGATGACGGGTAAATAAAAACACTGAGAACTGCGGTATTTTTGTATGAATGTTTACGCTTGTCCCACTTACAGTACGTAAGTCCACGAACAACACGTACATTGAACACAGGAACAAGTAACTCGTTATAGTTTTTTCTTAATAGAGGTTATTTAAGCATAGACGTTGAAGAGAAGCGATGGCATCCGGAAGAGGAATGAAACTAATTCTTACGCACTTTGACCCCAATGTATTTGTCGTGTGAATGTCGTTTTAGTATGCTAAATCTAAATGATTTATTCGGACAAAAATGGTTAAAGGCGCACCAGGCATGATAACTTTATCTTCTGGCTACCATCGCGTCTAAAAACCGTTTGTGCTTAAGTTTCCTAATAATTTTTGGGGCAGTTCTTGACGCAATCGTTGATTTTCCTCAGAGTGTGCACAGTATAACGGCAGCCTCTCGGTGTTTCCTCTAAGTTTCATGCTTTCTCGCAAACTTATATCATTTGGATATTTACCTCCACCGAAGTGGAAGCGAGATCCACATATCTATTTTATTTCCTGATTTCCTTTTTTCGCTTCAGTAAATCATTGGGTTACCAACTCCTCAGCGAAAAAAAATTTTAATCGATTAAAATAGGTGATTGTTATCGTAACAATTGATGGCATTTCGACGGAGAGTCGTGAAATAAAAAAACTCAAAGCAAACAGGCGAACCGCCTAAAGCGTAACAGAACGCGACTGACCAAGTCATCATTGGTTTTAATTTTGAATATTGATGGTTGGGAATTCGAAAGTGGCGCAACCAAAGCAAACCCACATTACCTCCGACATTCAACTGGAAATTACTCAGTCTATCCCTCTGAAAACTTAGAAATCCCAGAACTGCATTCGTGGAAATATATATTTAACTCTAATCATTGAATTTGATGTTAATCCTTTTTTTGATAGGGACGAGGTGGTGTACCACGAGTTTTGAAATTAATAAACTCCAGCACCAAGGATATGTTTTAGCCTCTTACTGTTTTTTAAAAGAAATTGGAAAAAATCATATAAACAAATGTAAAGATCCTTTGAGGATTCTAATCATTTTCCCTCTTAATAGTCATAGTAAAGAACATCAAGCAGAAGTAGCATGTTCGGTTTTTCTTATTAGTCAGAGGATGATTAGGAAGTGAATCAGTTTTTGAATGTGTAAATGTGAAAAGATTGTCACTTTTAGTTCGTTGCTGTCTAAACGATGTAATTTTGTAGCAGTTGGTGATTACTGGCTCGTAGAGCGTTTCCGATTGAGTGTCGTAAACACAAAACCAAAGTTATCACAAGACCCAATCAGAAGATGGGAAAATAACTGCAAGAACCGATGAGAACTCGAAGTAAACAGTAAACGGTCCAAAGCGAGGGAAAACGCGGGTGACCAAGTCGTGATTGGCTTTGGTTTTGCACCTGATTGGTTGCGAGAGTGGCGCAAGTTCTTTTGGACCAATCACAGAGCGGAGAAAAGCAAAACCAATGCAACCCGGAGTATTTTCGACACTCAGTTGTAAATTGCTCTAACCTGAAAACCACACAAGTAACAACTCGTTGTACACCTGAAGAATATGGCTCGCATACTTTTAACTTTTTTTACTTTTTTAGACTACTGGATGAATATCATAATATGATTGTCTTGGATAAATTTTTTTATACAACCATCGCTATCATCAGGACTACCCTCACCCGGACGTTCAGACTGTTACCCCGGGGTTCAGATTATTTACTGTATCAATGCTCTTTTGGTTTGACATTCTATCTCAAAGGGAACTCATCGCGTTCCACACATCTTGGAAAGTGAACCAATTTTTCTAAACAAATTAAATTGGACATTTTGTTCGCGTTGTATGATTTGCTTTAAGATTCGCATGTGTTCGATCCTTACGCTCACAGCTCTACTTAGAAAATCATAGATCTGAGCAGCTGATGTAAATTTTTTCGATATTGCGATCATTTATTGCTTTTGCAAATTTATGAAACTGTGCCAGACACATGACTTAGTTAATCGTATCGATTTTTCCCCCATCAAAAATTAATCGAAATTTCTCGAAAGGCGCATTCATTCCGGTAAGTCTACTGCTAAAGCTAACATCTGGGAAAGAAACTGCACTGATAGTAATGTAACATTGGGAATATCAAGGTAAAGAAACCGAGCAATTGTGATGGTCATGCAGAGGTTAGATTTTCCCATAGAGGAGACAATTTATTTCTTATCTTTCTCACTAATTATTTCGTCAGCGTTTTCGTTACGCGACCGATAGACGTTTCATAATATGTACACTCTTGCATGTTAATCACCCTCTCCCTGGAAAAAGTTGCAAATTACATGATCGTCAATCTTTTATGTTTGCATGTAGGTATGTATGTATGATATCATTATCTTAGATCTATCACCTGACAAACAGTTCAGGTGAGACGGCAAGAAAAGCTGGCGAGAAACTTTGGCAGCTTTCAAATGGATGACAATAGTGAAGCACTTTGTTGCTCTGTGTTATCCCTCAGCGGGAAAGTTTGCATACAATCAAAATACGGTCATTTCGACACTAATAATGGCAATTTTCTGAGCAAGTTGTAATTTAAAATTCATGTTTTCATAAAGAAAGCAGCCGCGATTTTAATACTAGGTGTCGATAATGTACACGTATTTAAAACAATTCTTTCAGGATGTTCTAATTTACAACAGATATCTACGTCAGTTATTTCTGGTGGCAGGATAAGAAGATTATATCCGAAAAAAAAAAAAACAAACTGATTAAGATTTTTGAAGAAAGAAAGTATGCGAATAAATATCCGAAAATATTCGACTGTACACGCAAGGTATTTCCCTTTTTTTTTTTAAAATTCAGCTTGTGTTTTTGGACGCAAGGACAACTAAAACGCCAAACAATTGTGCTAAAGCAATTACGGAGCAAACAAAGTGCCTTTGAAAGCTTCTTTAAAGCGCACGCATTTTTGAACGAGGTCATAAACGAGTTGTTATTTCTGGAAATTGCTTTGAAGTGAATCACGCACGTAACAGACGACTTATGGACCATATACGTTACGTGATCGCGATCACGTTCATAAAGAAAGCTGCAATTTTTGATATCGCGTGAATTTGTCCCTACTTAAATTGGTCAAGATTCTTGTATATGGCGACAATCGTGTTGAAGCTATGCTTCAGTATGCCTTTTACGAGACCACAAATGCAAGTTTGTGTTGATGTATCTAAGAATCTAAAAATCCTGAATGTAGGTCTGTTTTTTTTGCCACTCATGAGAAATTTTTTGTTGACAGCGGTTGCAAAGAATTAAATTACTAATTCCGGGTCCTCTTATTAATCCACTTTAAAAAAAGCTCGAGGAAAATTTAGTATTTGTCGCTTTTTTTTTTTTTTTATCAAGGGAGATTCTGCTATTCAAAATATTTTTTCGCGCTGATCACTTTTGTGCAGTCTTTTAATCAAATATTCGATAGGGTTTGCATATGAAGGGACGTCAAATTACCACCAGATTTTAATCATTGCTGCTGAACAAGAAAGGGTTTTTCATCTTATTCTCAGCCTATAACTGCAATCTTAGAACTAAAGCCATAGAGAAACAAAGTGATTAATTCGTAACGTGCACGAATAATGCATGGATCTCGGCCCTTAATCTGCCTAGCTTTAACAAAAGATCTATAGCGTAGGAAAACAAAGCGACACCTATTATCTTCCTCCAATGGCAACGAAGAGAAAATACTCCAGACTATTAAAAGGATTTCCTCAAGACAGGTTCATTTCTTATCAGTTATTCTTTAAGGTAAACCGCAGTTGCTTTCGACTTATGTCCAAAAAATAACAACCGTAACGGCTTATTTTAGGCGTGTTTTATCCGAGAACAAGACCGTTTCAACCTCAGGTGACTTGAGAGAAGCATGTTTGAGACAAAATTTTGATTTCACTAGAGGCAATTTGGTTTTAGCAGGAGCTGAAAATGAGGCGCTGAAGATGAATACGTAAGATTACATCGGGATTCTGTTCAATATGGGAAACACGACAGCCGTGGAGGTGAACAGTTACTTTTCAGAACCAGTAGATGCCAGAACATTTCGCGCTTTAATAGTATCGTGGGCATTACTCGGACTTATCTCTGCTGGATTGAACCTTTTCGTGTGCGCCATGGTGATCTTTAACAAAAAGCTTCACACAATGACAAACTATCTTGTTCTCAGCTTGTCTATCTCTGATCTGATGGTAGCGGTTGTGTTTGTCCCTGTGTACATCATCGATCATTACGTCAAGACAGTCATCGCAGGCTATTTTGTGGCCTTCGTCTTATTAACAACGGTTTTCAATCTCTGTGGCGTCACGTACGAGCGTTATATCGCGTTGACACGACCTTTTCGTTATCGAGCGATCATTAACAACCAAAATGTGACCGTTATTATCAGTATCTCTTGGATCCTTCCACTGATTCTGTCTCTTCTTCCGTTGGCTTGGAACACCGACGCGACTTCCACCATTCACAAAGCCTACCTGGCGACTATTTTGGCCACTTGCATCTTCATTCCATGTACGACAATGGTGTGTGTTTACATGGGTCTGTTAAGGGTGGTACATCGTTTTGTGATGAGAAATAAGAAACGGACGTGCAAAGGTAACAATACCGGATACCGGGCGGGCAACGAAGAGAAAGCAGCTGGAGTATTTGCCATCGTTCTTGCGATGTTCCTGGTTTGTTGGCTTCCTCTCATCTACATCAACATCTGTTTGATAACAGACCAGAGACATCTTCTCTCTAATGAACTAATACTAATCTCTTTTTACACCTTAGTTCTCAACTCCATACTGGACCCTGTAATCTTTGCACTTTATAAAAAAGACTTTCGTGAGACGTTGAAGAAGCGCTTAAGGCTCAAATGTCCCGGCAAAGACCAAAATGGCCACCCCAAAGAAGATTCTGACATGGGTTTAAGAAGGCTCTCTTTGAAAACCAATAACTTTGAGGAGGTTACATACCCCTAACAACGGAGACACCAAAAAGTGTCATAACTACCTATTTTAGCACGTTGAAAATGAATGTTATTGAACGACTATTTTGACTAATACGGCAAAAGTAAAAATTTAAGTGTTAATTCTAAAAAGATCTTTCGGTTAGCTGAGAGCTTCACGAATAAAATTCAGCTGTGATAACGCTGGAGATGGCAAGGATGCATTGCATCTAAACTTTATTGGAAATTGCTATCTGGTGGACAAGCTACCGTAGGCAGTAGATTGAGCTTGATGTTTTTATTTGTTTGTTTTTGTTACTGTGTTTTTTGTTTTTTCCTTTTGTATGGAAAACCTATGAAAGAATTTTTAAAAATGATTACGCTATGGAGTATAATTTAATCAGAACCTGTGCCCATAGATGGAAACGGTGAGACGGAATTTACAACAATCGTTGTTCGGTTGTCAGTGACGGGGAGTGAGGTACAAGCCAGGCCAGGCCATTGATTTATGTTACTGCAAAAAAATTGAATTTTTTTCTTAAAAGCTCTCTTGCATACTTCGAATGATGTCTTTCAAATTTCATGAAAGCCACGGCTAGGTTACTGTAATTTTTTTCTATCGATTATTTTTTTTTTTTAAAGAATGAAAAATATAATTTTTAAGACGGGGACTTTTTACTAGCAACCATCCAAGTGCTAAGAAAGAAATATTGAAAGTTCGTTTTAAGGTTTTTGGATTAAAGATGCGCCAGTGATGGTCTAAAAAGAACTTGGTATTTCCATGGTTGTATCAACGATATCAACAAGTTTTGTAAGCCTGAAATTAGTCCGTGGTGCTTTGATGTCTGTCTGTGGAAAGAGTGGACCATGAAATTACTGCAAAGAATTATTTATTTACTAGCACAGTCAATTTCAATTAAGTTACGTGATAACTTGTGTTTTTGTTGTAATGAAGGCTTGAACAAAAGTATAGTTGTTAAATTGGGACTTTCAGAAAAGTGTGCCATTTTGACTGAGATGGGACGCCTGAAAATTCACTGGGCTAAACATAATGCCATAGTTAAGCAAGGCTAATGTGAGCCACAATTTATCTCTTGTCAGTTAAAAACAAAGAGCTTAGCTGAATTTGAATTCATAATCTAAATGTTCCTCTATGATAGGCGAAGCAATAAATTGAATTAATTGTGTTTTTGTTTCGGTTTGAAGTGGAGTACACGAGAAAAACTAATGTCTATTACGACTCGTTGACAATTCTGACAAACCTATTTATTTTGGATCCAGAATTAAACTACAACGCACCACTTGCGTAGTTTCATGTATTTGCGAATGTCATTTCAAATCCCTTTAGATCTATTTGCGATCTGATATTTACAGGTATAGCGATAATGAGTGGTGTTTCAAAATGTTTTTCTCAATACCTTGGAAAGAGAAGGCACTGTTATTGTAGATGTACCATCGCCCAAAAATCCGCGATGACTTACACAGAGACATTTATTGCGCACTAGAAATGAATTACAAATTTGGAGCGAGAATCAAACTGTGGCGCACAACTCGTTCTGTTTTAAGTATTTGAGAATATTATCTAAAATCTTTTTAAGACTGTGTGTAATCCGATATTCATAAGCATTGCGACAACAACTGGTTTCTCAAAGTGCGTCTCTAATGCTTTGAGAAGAGATGGCATTATCTCAGCTACATCATTTTCCACAAATCCCCGATAACTAACAGTGAAACAAAAATATTGCGGACCAGAAATTAATTTGAAATTCTAACCAGTGGTAAAATAGAGAATCAGAACTTTAATATTCAACATTGAGCTTATTCAACAGTCACTATGGAATCACATATCTACCGAATTTTCTAACAACTGAATTAGGCTTATGAGTTGGGTAAGACCAAATCGTTTCATAAACCTCCGACACATGATATTCGAAATTATTTTATATTGTAAATTGACAAGATCGAAAATATCGAGTATTTTTAAATTAGCCACCATGCATAACACTGATGTATCATTTGGCAGATTTTGCTGATAGCAACACAAAGCTAATTGAATGGTTACACGCTTCAACCGCCAGACACTCTCGGTGAATCAAACTCGAGGTAAATGGAATATTTCTCAATTTCCAACTGGTATAATCGACATAAAAAATTTCTATGTCAATCAGTTTTCAAGGTCGGATCTCTGGAAATGTTTATTGTGGCCAAATGCCGGAGCCGGCGAAATGCGATGTACATTTCCGACGATAACGCCTAAAAATACATTACAAATAGCGTCATTAGTAAATGTATCATTTGATTTCTTATCATAGGCTTTGATAACTTTTAGAAGTTGTGTTCGAAAACAAGTCAATAGATTCGTCTCTTTCAAAGAGTTCCAAAGGCAAGGTAAGCTAAATTATTTTCTTCTCGATCAGTTAACTAAATGATTTTCTTAAAATTCCGCATAAACAAAAAAAGTTCGTTTGGTCAAGAGTTGATAACGCAATCATCTTATTTTTTCATCGCAAAGCACAACTGTGATGGAACAAATTGAATTTGAGGATGATCTGAACTAAATCTTATAGTGCACAATACTGAATTTGGATGACTGATTCAATTTCTGAGTCTGTTTAATAGAATTTTCTATCCGGAAAGTTTCCTCGTTCGACTCCTATTAAAATTTGTATCAGTGAACTGAAGTAATTCGATTTGTACAGTACATAGCATTTGAAAAAAAATCAATCCTATGCTTATACATAATTCGAACTCAGATATCATTTCAGTTTTGAGGCCCGTGTTTTGCTCTTACAATGTGTTTCATCGAGTCGTTGTTGCTTCTTTTAAATCTTGTTAAAAAGAAAAATATATATTTTTCTTGTGAGCAATTTTGAAGCGCAAGTTATACAATTGTCAGTCAGTACAACGGTGCGCAGCTGTTTGTTAGCCTTTACTAATAATGTGACCAATAAAAACACAGCAAATCATTGCGTTAATACCTTTGATCTCGCCACAAATAATTGCATTAATAAGAGTCAATGCATTTTCGTCATTTTAAATTCTGGTTTTCAAACCTCAAAGGCGAGTAGAGAATTTCATTGGACTCATCAGCGCTGTTTTTTCTTTTGATTTTTCTGAGATCGCTTATCGCTCCCTCAGGGCTAAGTAACAGTTCATTTACAAAGGTCGTCACAGAGCAATGGAAACTATACTTGAGTCCGTTCTGTTGACGTCATTTTTCCATGGGCTGTTCTGTCTCGGGGCACGAAAACGACAAGGCTAATTGCTGAAAATTTGTCGTTCTGCGTCATGAATTTAAGGAAAAAGAACCGTTCAATGCTCTGGGCGGCGAACTATCCAATTACCCGAGTTAGCTGCGTTACAGAGTAAAGTGTTTTAATACAAATGAGGCTTTATTCTGTTTGGGAAAAAAACCAAGATCAAATAGGGATTTAGTCACATTAGAAAAAGAGCTTTGGTTCGATCACGAAAAAAAAGCAGCCACTTAATTGCTGCTGCATTTGATCATAATTCATCTGGGTTTTCACAGTCTTCTCTTTGCTACTTGCGCTACGAATTGTTCGCGCCACTGATAACCCAACATCTAATCTATAGCAAGTTGTGACTGAGCAAGTTTCCAATCTTACTACAGTACAGCTAATTCAATTACTATTTAACTTCTGGTTTAGTTTAATTTGATTGAATTCTGCAATGTAGACGAGAATGTCTGATGAATACCTGGCTTTCACTCCTTTGAGAAGCACGAAATTGACAAATCCTATTCGAAAACTACACAAGAAAACTAATTATTAGAGAGATATTCAAGTTTTGCGTGCAATAACTATTTTAGTGGAGAGATCTCACTTAGTTGCGAAAAGATTCTCCAGGCTCTAACAAGGAATATGTTACATCCCAAAGGTTGCGACACGGGCTCCTAGCGCTGAGTTGTGATACGTTCATTTATGTACCTATGCCGGATAATAGAACTTTGAATTGAAAGGCAATTTTTAAACGTCGTAAGGGATACAGTTATAGACAATTGTGACTATAGCCGAGCTCCAATCGATGAAATTCCACAGGGACTTACCTTTCTTTACATGATTATCAAGACCTGACTAATCTTCCCATCTTCCATCCAATCCTCCCCCCCCCCTCCCCCCAATATAGACAATATATATCTACGTTTACCGTCTATTAAGCCCAATTTCTCTTGGGAAATAAAGAGTTCACAAATGTTATTATGAGAAATAATTATATTTCTAATAATAACTATACCGAAGCGCCAGGGAAGCAAATAGAACTTTGCGGTGAATATCGTGCACAAGCCATTGCTCTTCCATTTTATTTAACTCAACCAAACACGTGTTTTCCATCTGTCGTCACAGAGAATGCAATAATGATCTGTATTTACTTTACACCAGAAAATCGATAGTACAAATCCATCCTAAATCCACCTTGGAACAATATGGTGCGAAGGTATTGTCAACAGTCCGATTATAATGATAATAAGGTTGCTAAAAGTAGATGAATAATTGCGCGTTTGATAATCCACAGATCGTCTACATTCCTTACTCTGTAAGAACATGTATGAACCCCTGGAGAAATTGCAGAGTTGGATGAAGGCTCTTAAACTGGTAAGTTTAACGAGATGTATCGTACATCTGTCCCCAAACACTTTTTAACCTCAAAGCAGTCTGCGTTAAACCAAACGTTTTGTACTCATGTACAGCGTTTACTTCTTTAAAATCTTGAACCGACATCATAATACTGCGAAACTTCAAGCCAATGTCATAGTTCAAAGACCAGAATCGAACGTTTTTTAGGAATTTTATTGGAAGTGAACCTTGACAGATCGGCTTGGAGCTTCTAAGGAAATAGCTACCCCCACAATTACTGATTATTCAACAATGTTTTTACAAGTGGTTCTGAAAACCGCTTCTCGAGTGTTCCACACGAGGGCTAATTAACTGAATTTTGTGATCACGACGATGCTTCCAGTATAAAAAGGCCCGTCAGATATCTTTTAGGTTCTAGACCTCAAAATCAACGCGTAGAGTTGTTGAGACGTTGCATGCGTAAGTGACGACATAAGAGAAACATCAATAAATTTGCGATCACAGATTCGTTCGCTTCATGGGTGGTAAGAACAGCCAAAATAAAGCAATAGGGTGAACATTAAGTCAATGATTATGAGATGATATGTGTTTTAATGGCTACTTGATAGCCAGTGCCATTGAGATGGACATTAAATGTAGATATTTATCACCAAAATGCGAGTTTAAACAATGCTTGAAAAAATCTGAAATATGTTTCTCAATTTATATTAATGGCATAGAGCAGTAGATATATCATGACTATAATACATTTTCGTGCAGTCCGCCGACGAACCATCGTAAACTGATAAATATGCAGCATATGATAAAATTATTATCGCTTAAAAAGAGAAAAATTGCAAATTTTTAATGTAAGAAACTTAGATTAAGAATATAATGTGTTTTTTAGCAGACACCATTTACATTTCGAGGTGGGTTAAAATCAAAGACAAAAAAACCTCTGGCTGTTATTTGAGACGTTGAAAATGAGATGCAATCGATCGATTGCAATAGTAGTTTTTGTAATTAAGAAATGCAGTTGATGTCCATTATGTTTTACCTGCCGAAGAAACGAAAACATTCTGCCAACTTGACCGCAGGCGGTACGATTACGTCCCAGAAAAATGTAGTTTTCTCTTTCTAGAATAAGTCTGCGGTTAGGACGCTCAAAACTCCGAAAAAATCGACCAAGCCGAGAACCTTGCATATGAAAATGAGATAAAGGTGTTTGTATTATGTTCTGCATATCTTCGTTTTTACATCAAAGAGGGGGGGAGGGGGTAGGCATTCAAGGATAATTTAACTATTTTATTCTGAATGACCATATCTTGGTGGTAAAAAAACAATTTTTTTTGTAAAAACATGCTCGATTCGAATTGCTTTTAGCATGCTTGCCGCTCTTTTGTATTAAGTGTTTAGTTGATATTCTCGCATCCCTCTGTTTTTTACCGTAGACGAAAATTACCGGAAATAAATTTTGCTCCTGTGGGGTCGCTGCCTATCTGTCGCTTTTATCACATCTTCCATTAGTAGGACTAAATGCAAAGAACGCATGTTGCGTTATCTCTTAATGAATACAATATTCTCCTTTTCAATCCAATGAACAATTCCAGGCTTACTGAATAGTTTGTACTTGAATAAATATTGTTGTAGAAGCTATTGGCGAACAAAGCCCAGTGAAATCACAAAACGTGAATAATTCCCCCTTTAGCCAGGCCATTTTCTAGTAGTATGAATAACTTTTTTTCTTTATGACAATAGTTCTGAAAGAAAGGACTTTTCGGGACTAATTGGGACAAATGTGGTAATTGGAAACAGCAATGAGATTAATGAGGTCAGCATAGCCTGCAGGATATTTTGACCGGGACAAAAACGTATTCTTTTGCAGCAGGGCTAAGCGGCTGCGTTTGTTTTGATGGATAATGTGTTAAAAGACAGGAAAACAATTGTGCCAAAAATGTTGTTAGCCGTGGCGTGTAAACAACGCGAGAGCTTTTTGTATCAGAAGAAAAAACATGCAAAGGACGAACTAGATGGAACCATTTTTTTTTCTTTCAAATATTCCGCGCCCCAACTGTATCAGTTATGTGGTGCTTTGTAACCTATTCAGACGGGTGCATAACTTCTTAGACGGGGGGGTTACAAACACTTTGAAAATTTCCCTCTAATTTCCAGAATATCAAATAAATTCCTAAAAACATCCCCGGATAACATTTCCATGGAAAAAGTGGCAGTTGCCTAGAAATTTGTTTCTTGTAAATAAATAGCTAATAGGCAGTTTTAGATTTGACCAATTATGACGATTTCCAATCGAGTATCAAAAGTAGGTCTTGAATAGTGGGCCTTGGTTTTGCTTCATAACGCTCTCTGATTGGTTAAGTCGGAGAACTTGCAACCAATGAAATGCAAACGAAATCCTATGGCATTTAGGTTCTTTGTATTTTCCCGCGCTTGAAGCCGTTTCCCCTTTTGAACTTTGGGTTCTCATTGGCTAATTCTTTTTAATTAATTATCAACGTGACATCAAATGAGAACTTTTGTCGCAAAAAGGTTTAGATTACAGGAGAGATTATCTTTGTTCCAAATTTTGCTAAGCAGTGCACTTTCCCCTCCTCTACTACCGTCAGCGGGCCTTACAAAATAATTCTTCGCTTTGCTTTAATGTTATTTAGAAATGTTATCCATAAGAATGAAGACAATGAATCAAGTCTTACATTAATTTCACGAAATTGTGTAGGCCTATGTCACTCTTGAGTAAAGGAGGATCCATCCCCGTAGAACGCAAAAAGCAAGTGTTCAATTCTCTCTCGAGGTTTCATGGTAGGGTCTAAATAGAACAACATTTCAATGTTCTTAATGCCTCTTCTAACGAATTAACGGATTATTTATATGAAGCGTTTCAAAGATCCTTTGAATGAACACTGAAATAGGAAATGTATATTGGAGTCATGACGAAAGTATTGCCCCAGGCAAGACTTCTGTTGAACATGTGCTTGTTCAAACTCAAACTTAATAAAATGTATAGAATTGTTAATTCATAGGCAGAGCGTTCTCTGCTGCACGCTTTTTTTTTATTTTGATGTTCAGAAATAGAGAGTAAAAGAAATTTCATCCTAATCAAAGAGTGAAAAATAATCTCTGATTAAAGAAGGATAGGTCGATAAATAAAATACGCCTCATCTATGTAAAAAAAAAAGTTAATCTGATTTTTTGAGACATATTAAAGCTTCATTTGCAGTTTCTAAAAATAAAAACAGTTCGTCATGATTGACATTCTAAGCCTTCAATTCGGGTGGCCAAATGAAAGCTCTCGATATAATTGGATTCCGCTTGTCCATGAAAATATAACTTACTTAGGGTATGTATTTTTCTTTGGAATGGGAACAAGACTAACTACTTCTCAGCTTCGTTTAGCCATTTTTGGAGATACACGTGCAGTAAACAAAGGTAAAGGATATGGAACGTAAATATCTCTTTGTTAGATTATATTACTAAAACACCTCTACAGCTAGCACACACACGAAATTCAATATGTTTTCATTTTCACTTGAAACCACGGAAGCAAGTTATGTGCAAATAGCAAACTAAGGATTCTTATATCTTTGTCCTTGGATTTAAAAGTTCATATTACCTTACGTTTTACTTTTTTTCTTTTTTCATCAAGAACTATAAAATTTGTGAGAAAGGTATGATTAACTATGATTTCCGATGAAGAGACACCTATGAGGTACGTTACTTTAGGAACAAACATTTTCCATAAAAAGAAAAAAAAAGAAGACGGGGCCAATTTCTTTCCTTCGATCTCCCTTGCAGTGTCAAATCCAAAATACTATGTAGACTTCCTCGACGATCTTAGGTTATTACATGCAGTTTTAGAATAGTCTCAATTTGGCACGGTGACAATCCAACATGGCGCTTGATTTCCTGCAAATCATAGACTAACAGGCTATTTTAATCACGATCTTTCCTTAAAGTGGAATTTCAAAACTTAGTAAACACACTTCTATCGAAGGGTTTTTCTTTTATTGCGGTGTATCAGAGTTATTTAGCTCAGGCTGAGAGATTACATTATATTGTCTTGGAATGTTATGTCATGCTGATCTGCAGCGCGCTCAATATCCCCGAGGCTACCTTCAGAATTTAAGCCAGATCTTACGCAACTCAGATTTTTGCGGAACTGTTGTTAGTATGATACTGGCGCAAGAGAGGATAAAGTCCAGTCTTAGTATTGGCGTCTTAGTATTGGCGTATACAAGGCTTAAAAAAAAAACTAGAGTGAAAAATAAAAAAAACTGAGGTAATTATATTTTCAGTGAGACAAGTGCGATGACAAAGCGTTTTTGTTCCTCTAGGCCATCCAATCTAACCAATTAAGAACATGATTGCAATTGCATAAAAAAAATAACAGCACGTCCAAATATACTTTTCGTTTTTCTTTTTTAATTTGGAAAGCAAAGCAGCAGTCTTAAATTATAAACCATTACAAATTGGATCGGCATGAATTTGTGAATGGCATTATAATTCCGACTGTTTATTTTCTTGAGTCTGAATATTATTTATTTCAAAAAGAAAGAAGAAGTTTGTTTAAATATGAACATGGCTCTGTCAAGGCAAAATTAACGCCTTTGGTTATAAAGTTATTCCTTTTTTCTCATCCCAAGTTAGCTGTTTTCTTTACTTAGGAAAAATATTACAATTTTCCTTTTAAATTAATAAAGAGATGAATGAATCTTATTTCAGTAAGCTATTGAAGAAATTTGAAACTGTTTAGATCTACAGTGAACTTTGAGGGGGCGGAGTGAATGATACTACAATATCCGCTTCTTCAGTCAAGTTTTACATTCGTATTTTCCCATTTATCACCATGACATGTACTTCCTGTACTTGTGTCTGTAATTGTGTAATTTTGTCCATTTACAAGACTGCTAGATCTAACTTAATAATTACATGCTTTTTCATTTCTAGAGCAAAAGTGCTCTCGTTCAATGGCGTTTTTTAAGCCACTTTTATTAACGAAAGACGTTCAAATTGTAGCATACTTCACTCTCCTCTCGAAGAGAATTTTAACCTGGAAGAAAAGGTGCAGGTAGAACAGAATATTTTCTATTCTTTTTACGATTCATATCTTACTATATAAGGTTAAACAATTGTGTAATGCAGCTAGTTTTGTTTAGGATTATCTCTAAAGTGTCTCTATATCTTGCATATGTGATCATAATTTTAAAACATGTTCACGGTTTCTTTGATAAGTTTAACTAAGTTGTGTCTCTGTGTTGATTCAAAGTGCTATCGATTTTTGAAAAACATGGGGCGAACAGAGGCTATCAAAAATCTTGCTAATCAATCACTTCAAAAGTAAACTTTTCTTTGTTTCAATCGACCTGACTTAAACTATTCTTGTTTCAAGACACTACATAAATTAAAATCTTTCGAGCTCAAAGAGTTCCGGAAAGCTCAATAAACAGTTGTCTTTTTGCATAAGTGGTTTTTATTATTCATTCCAATAGATTTCTAAAAGATTTTCACTGGCTAAATTAGGTTTTCTTTAGACGCCGAAATTGCTTAAACCCTACGTTCGCGTGGGAAAAGGCACCTTCAAAGGATTGTTCCCTAAGGGCAAGACACCAAATTGTAAAATTACGTATGCCGGGGAATTTGGTCTGTTTCGTCTTCAGCATAATCGAGTGAAAGATATAGACCACTCGTGTATTGTTAGTAAAGAGGGTCTACCCTCTCAGTTTCAATCGACCTGACTTAAACAGAGCCACCGCTCTGACGAAGGGCTAACGCTCGAAACGTCAGCTTTTGTACCCTTTACGGTGGCTAATTTACGTTTTCAACCCAGTTGTTAACACTAAATTACCTGCTGACTTAAACTATTCTTGTTTCAAGACACTACATAAATTAAAATCTTTCGAGCTCAAAGAGTTCCGGAAAGCTCAATAAACAGTTGTCTTTTTGCATAAGTGGTTTTTATTATTCACTCCAATAGATTTCTAAAAGATTTTCACTGGCTAAATTAGGTTTTCTTTAGATGCCGAAATTGCTTAAACCCTACGTTCGCGTGGGAAAAGGCACCTTCAAAGGATTGTTCCCTAAGGGCAAGACACCAAATTGTAAAATTACGTATGCCGGGGAATTTGGTCTGTTTCGTCTTCAGCATAATCGAGTGAAAGATATAGACCACTCGTGTTTTGTTAGTAAAGAGGGTCTACCCTCTCAGTTCCAGGGGGAACAATGGCAATGAAAACTGTCAATGAATCTATATTTACTTTTGAAACAAAACAACGGATGTGAAATCTGAAAAATACGCGCGGTGACATGAAAAGTAATGCCACACGATTAGCTGTCGTCATATAGTGATCAAACCTTAACTAGGACTCAGATATATAACTTGGTTGGTCTGACTGAAAAATTTCTTGGAAACAATCACATATCGAACTGCTCGTCACTTACGCGGATCTTATCTACAATTCAAAGATGAGTGATGACTCACACGTAACACACAACGAACAGAACGTGAGAAAATTTAATTGAGCGCCAGAGAAAGAAAATGCGGATGGGGTGGTTAATCGTATTTATTCAAGGACTTAAACATCTCATTTGATGTTTCCTCCGTGCGCTGTGAATGAGCCAATGGTAAATGTTAGTTCAAAGTGGCTATGACTTGTTTATATGAGTTTCTTAACAGATATTTCCTATAGTGAATATCATATTATGACAAATTGCCGCGTCATACAAGAGCACGTTCCTTAATATCTACACTTTTACTTCCCCATTGATATAATCCTTATCCGTATGTCTTGCGTATTTTTCTGAAAAGAAAATAATGTAACGCACAAATTGCGAACGAAAAATTGTGGTTTAATTAGTTTCGAGGATTAAATTTCATCTTTCCAGGAAAATTCTACTAAAATATGTAATTTTGCGACTAAAATCACGTACAGTCATAAATCTGCCGAATCATTTTGGTAAAATTTGCATCACAAGAATATTAAATAACCTAGTGTCGACGCCACTTCAAACTGATACTCTTAAATTTAGAATCAGATCGTGCTGGCAGAATATTCAACAATTAAAAAATAACGTGAAAATGAAAAATCATATTTCCTTCACTTTCGTGCCAATCGCTGTTGACAGAAAATGAAATAGACTACAGATTGTTTTCTAAGGCTGACATCGTTTTCATTTTTATTCAAAGATGACCCTGTATAATTAGCAATAAAATGTGAAAATAAGATGAAAAGGTGGTTTTTCCCCATCACTCATCAACAAATTGTATTTATAATGAAATTGCATAGGGTAATCACATTGCAATCGACAGATTATTACATTATCAAAGTTTAAACTATTTAGAATCAAGCGTTAAAACAAACTGTGAATCTTTGCTCACAACTGAATTCCTTAAATGAAGCCTTAGTGGCAAATTCAGATCATCGCACAGACAACTCGTTTCAATAAAGGTATGAGGGCTTTTCTCATGTAACCATACTTGGTGGTTGATTTCTGGTAAACGGGCCTTTGCAGCCGTTCCTTGGAATGTCACGCAGCACTCCCTTAACACTCTCCCTCTTCTTATTTATGGGGGGGGGGTGGGGGAGGGTAGGGAGGGGAATGCTCTCCTAGAATCCTTTTCAAATGTCAAGTACAGGTATCCTTATCTATTTCCGGTCGGTATGTCTGTAATGCTTTTCATTACCTGTGTTCTGTAGGTTAAAGCTTTTAACCTTCAACAACATACTTAGTTTGTTGTCAGAACTCTGTTTTATAAGGACATGATGTTTTTTTTCTTTCGTGTGTTCACAAAGTAAAAACTTATCACTCACCGTGAAGAATCAAACTTCCGACCTTCGGATTCCGCCCGCCGATACTCACCACTGAGCCACATAGACTCTGCAGTGGGCAAGGTCGTCACGAGGTACTGGGTAATTTGGTATTATCAACTGAGTTGATAAGGTAAATTAACCACCGTGAAGACTTTCAAAGCTGACGTTTTAAGCGTTAGCCCTTCGTCAGAGCGATCTCCCACCGACGCAGCACCACAGTTTCTTTAGAAACTTACCCCTTTTATTCAACACGAGGTCCGTTTGTTTTCTTTCAGTCATCCGTCAAAGATAACAGATCCAGCTTTAGCTCACTTCTCTGCAGCTTGCTAATGAGGTCGACGGGGTGAAGTAGTTGAGAATTTTTTCTTGTGTGGGGATTATTTCCGTAATTGAACGAGGTAGCCACCCTGTTTCAGGCATGCGAAGAGGTTGATCAGAGGATATCTCTTCTTCTCGTATTGTTACCCATTTACGCTAGCCTGATTTGCGTATGCTTATCGATATTTACCTGCCTGTTGAGCTCTAAGTAAAGCAGACTGAACCATAAAGATTGGCCATCAAAGCAAAGGACTTTTCAATTAGTAGAGGTTGAGGCTATAAAAAGCAGAAGCTTTTAACAAGGTCATACCAAAGTCAAGTGTCCATTAAGGAGCAAACATATGTTTAAAATAGGCACGCTGTTGGCATTTTTGGTTACCTTTCATTTCGTTGATCATCAGGAAATGCAAGCTGGCAGTGTTTTTCGTTTCTACCAGTTTTATTAATCATATAGTTTCCACTGGACCCTAAAACTAAAAATTGGTACGTACATATTATTGTTTTTCTTCCATTGTTTTTCGGATTAATACACCGTAGTAGCTCTAACGGTAGGGAACATTTCAAGACAACTTTAATGAATGATGTAGATCTAAGAATCCTCACGTGTGGCACTACAGCAAAGTAAGAATGATATAACTCACTCAAGGTCTAAAACTCTTAGTCGTCGGTCTCAAAGGAATGGGATTCAATCAGTCCTTAATTAAATTTACACTTTTGACATTGCCGGCTGATCTCAGTAGTGTCACAGTGTTGCACGGTTGTCATAAATGGACTAGCTACCATTGGGTTTAGTTCTTTTAAGGAGGGGTTCAGTGTAACTCATTGGTCGAACATGGAACGACTCTAATTTATCTTTTTCCTTGTCCTACTCTTTTTAAACATCTCTTTCGTGACGAAGGGCTAGCACACAAACGTCAGCTTTAGAATCTTGTTACGCTGACCAAGTCGCATTATCAACTCATTCCCCCCGATATATGCCGAGCACATATTTGCCCCCTCTAATTCAAAAGCTCTTTTTCAGAATAGAGGTGATTAACTCAACAATTCAGCTGCCTGGTTTCCTTCGAGTTTAATTTTTTGACAGACTGATTGCTGTCTCAAATTTCTCCTAATTGGCATGAATATTTGGAAAGCTTCTCCATCTAACCATCCTCTTAACCAATTAGCAGAGACTCTCGTTTTCCCTCGTTTTAAGCGTGTGTTTGGTTTGACTTTGAGCTGCAATCGGCATCCTTTTAGGCTGTCTTTCCTTCTGATTGGTTGCTGCAGTGACGTTGGTTTTCGTTGTACAACATGCACTAAATCGAAATGCACTATAAAGTTTAAACTTCTTGTTCAAAATAGTGTTTACAGAGGATTAGTTCCTAGGTATACGCATCTCTGCTCTCTGATCAGCCGGAATTTGCTGTTCGTTTAAGGTGCTCCAAGCTATATGTCTTATGTTTGTTTCTTTGTTTCTCTTTTCTTTGTCTGTTTATTTTGCATTAATTTCAAAAGGAGACAAGTGCAGCTAAATACATACTGAGGTAAATCTCACAACTGTTTTGAACATATCCGTTTGTTTTCATATGATAAGGCCGACAAGTGCTCTTGCTTATGTACATGGATATTCAAGTAGAATTGATTTTCTTTGTTTTGGTTCTCGTTAAAGGTATTGTTTTGTTCATCATCACTGTTCTTACGTGTAGGGGGAACAATCCACTAGGATTGTAGGAAATTTCAGTTTTATCTAAAATCACCTACAAGACTTGCCAAATTAATCATTTTTAATGGACACTGGTTTCTTAGAGTACTAATTACTTGGGAAAATGTGTGAGTAAACAATGAGGTAAGCTGCAGTGTGTGTTCAGTTTCGAGGACTCGGGTCTGTTAAAAAAGCTTCGATCACATGTTGAATTTTTTCTAATTACAGTAAAAATCAAACCAAATCAAAAGGCGTGACCTGAATTTGTGATAGATTAAGTTTATTTTTTTCTCTTTACTTTAAAACGCAAATATGGAAATGACGTTTTCAAAGGACTTCGCTTCTCATCAAAATCAAAAGCATAATCATATTATGGTATGCGTCTTTCAAAGTCAAAGGAACTTGACTATTCCATTTTGATTTCCAAGCAAAGCTTTCGCCTTACAGCAAGAATGCAGGATATTGATGCAGAGTCTTTGTTAGATATAAATGAGTTTTTGCGCAATAATATTTTCTCGCTTACACGCAAACAAAGTCATAACAAAAAGGAGTGGGAAATGAAAAGCTTTGTTAATACGCGTTAAAATCTGGTTATTCGAGGGTCAGGAAATTAAGCATTCCAAGCCTATTACCAGACCCGTTCTAGATCTTAGAATTTGTTGTAAAATTAGTCAGGTTTCAGCATTATTTACAGTCAAAGTGATTTTGTTTTTTTATATATACAGGAAATTGCTTACTAATGTCAAAGACATTCCCACAACACCAGTAGTCTGTTCCTAAGCGACTTAGCTTTGTAAGGAACAATGACATCATTGAGAAACCTCAAAGTAGTCCCTGTTTAATTACTAAGCACCATACAGCATTATGCATCAAATAAAACCCACCTACGATAATGTCTAGTGAAATATTAAGCTGTTTATTTCTAAAAAGAAACGAAGTGGTGCATAATTGGTAGGCACGGTTCGTCATGAAGCAATTTCAATTTTGGTTGTGTCTGGGGTAATTGACGCTGGTGCCACATTTGCATGAAGTCCTCATAATAGAAGTTGTTCGGGAAAAAAAAAAAGAAACTGAATCTTGAATCAAATTCCCGTTGGCTGTTATTGTAATAAAATCTTCAATAGATCTCTATTTTTAAATCTTCTGAGAAAAAAAAACTGAAGGAACAAGGATCGATCTCGATGGTACGAAACCGCTTTTTCGAGCAGTTTCCTATTAAATATTTATTTAGTTTAGCTCTTTCCTGAGCATATGTCAGCTTCGTAAAAGTTATTTCATTAAACTGTTGTTTTAACATCTATTCTTGACAGGTCGATGAAGAAGGACCAGTTACTGGCTACGTTAATCGCTAATACGCTAATCGCAGCTGATCCTTTTCTGAATCGAAGATTGCGGGTAAATCGTTGTGTTTCCTTAGCAAAACAACTCTAGAGTAGGAGACCCCCTTGAAGAAATCGAACATTGTGCCATATTTCATAAAGGTAGTGAAACAGCTGCAAATCCCTGTTTGTCTACGGCTAAGAGGAAAAAACAAAGAACAGAGGAAGTTAAAGAACACAAAGGAAAGCCTGACTCATTTTTAAGTGTGAATTCATCATTCATTTACTGATGCAACTAGCCGTGAACAACACATCCACTTCGGCTTCTTTTACACCCGACGCTGAAAGCTACACTGGTGTAGACACAAATGTATTAATCCCGCTTTCCGTAACATGGGGTGCACTAGGTCTTGTGTCAACTGCACTCAACATCATCGTATGCCTGATAGTTCTGAGCGACCGACGGCTGTGGACAATTACTAACTCATTTATAGTGTCTCTTTCGGTGGCCGACCTACTTATAGCTGCTGCGCTCATTCCGATTTACATTTGCGAGAACTTTACTATGACGAAGACGCCAATTACTGGGTATGTTATCGCCTTTCTACTTCTTGCGTCGATCTTCAACATCGGCGCGGTAACCTACGAGCGATACGTGGCTCTGACCAGACCACTAGGTTACCGGGTGACAATGAACGCTACCAGAGTAGCGGTGATCATCTCCCTGTGTTGGATCTTACCTTGTTTCATCTCGATACTTCCAGTGGCTTGGGATGCTGATCCGATGTCGAAATATCACAAAATTTACCTGTTTGTTACTGTATTTGGCTTCGTTCTGTTGCCGTGCTTGGTGATGGTGTGGATTTACGTGCGTCTTCTCCGCGTGGTGCGTCGATTCATCACTCGAAATCGAAGGCGGTCCACTTGGGGTAACAGAACGGGGGAGCGGGCGGGGAACGAAGACAAGGCGGTGATAGTGTTTGCTCTAATTTTCGGGATGTTTCTTCTCTCTTGGATGCCACTTATTTACATCAACATCTGTGAAATATTTGATCAGCTTAACCTGGTCTCGTTGCCACTTCTCTATGTTTCGTTTTATACTTTGCTTTTCAACACCATCATGGACCCATTGATTTACGCGTTTTTGAAGAAAGACTTCAGCGAAAGTTTAAAGAGAAGGTTGAAAAAAGACGACTATAACACCCCAAGAGAAGAATCACAAGTAGAAATAACAGTGGTTAAATCAAAATGTTAAAGAAATAGTCTAATATCAATTAAGATTAAGTCGTATTAATTTTTTTTATAGAGCTTTTAAGGCAGATTACTACAACATCAACAGATTCGCCATTATCAACTGTGATCGGAACTTCTATTTTTTTGCGCTGCTGTGTGGGATCCCACCCAGGAGTGACCCCGCAGGGTTTTTAGTGAAAGCCGGTTAACGCTGTTTGTTTTTCTCGCGGGCAGGCTCTCGTGTTTTTGTGGTTTTGCTTTATGGCCACTTAAACAAAAGGTTAGCGGACTCCCTGGTGACCAAAAATAAGTTTCTCCTTACAATATCAATCATTTTCAAAGAGAAACGCCATGAAAAGAAAGAAAAATGTCAGCTTGGGGGAACTTGTTTGATGAAACATCAGAATCTCAGAATAAAAGTTATGATTAATGTATGACAGGCCGTGCGGAGAATTGATATTTTGTGCGTGAAAATTTTCACATGTCGAATTTTTTCTTGAATTTTTACAACACAAAAGGAAATCGCGTAAATTCGATTATCTTTTCAAGATTTATGGGCTCGATTGACATTTAGTTTCAGCTGAAATTTTTCTTTTTCAGTGAATTAAGCCTGAAAACCTTTCACGATATCAAGTGGCCGTGAACATCAGTTTTACGAGCAGTTTATCTCGTATTTTTGTTTCTTCAGCAAAAACATCCTTTTGAACGCCACTTTTAACTTTCTTGGTGCACTTAATTAACTCGATGCATTATTGAACGATTTGAAAATGCTGGAATTCTTTTTTTCTTTTTTTTTTTTTCTGATAATGACGGTCAGACTTTACTTTTAGCTTAATTTCGAGAGAGTTCAGTGTGAAAATCTCGTATCGCACTCTAAAATAGATTTATGCATCTTGCAATTGCCTAATCGGGTATATAAATTTTGACGAGTATGTAATTAATAAAAATGCACCCTTAGTAAAAGTATATGAGTGGGTGTGGCCGAAGCCAACTATGAAATCGCTAGTTGATTTAAAAAAAGATAAAAGCTGCTCTAGAGAAAGAAGAGACATTTTCATCTCAGGTGCACCATAGGGAAAAAACAATGTTGCATCTCGAGATCTTCCAACCCTACCTCCCCGTGATTTTCCACGAGTCATTATCTGACTAGGCAACATAAGAGACTTACGCTTAGTATAGGGGGTGATTCCTTGGAAAGTTGTTGATAAAATAGAACGCGTGTTAGAGTGGAGAATACTTCTTAATTATCTTATCTTATTTTCTTCCAGTAAAGTTAAAAAAATGACATGATTTATTGAATACGTCTTCATAAATGGTGTTTCTTTCAAAGTGTTCCAAACCCTTTCAAATAACTATGAAAATCCTTTTCCCTATTCTACCTATCAGGTCTTAGATAATTCATTTCAATTTAGCAATGAGAATTCAGCTTGTATCAAATAACACCATATACCTGGAACGTTTCTCAATTTTTGTAACCTTCCTGTTGGTATTGACAGGAGAAGTTGAGGTCCATCACTTTTGGTTGAGAGGGGTTATCTCTCGCACGAGTATAAGCTTGAAAAAGGAAGTCTTCAAGTTGCACAATGTTAAGGGATTTGCCACACATCTTGCCACCCCGTTTGTCACTCGGAGATAAACTGGTCGTTAACCGTTTTTATTATATGACAGGGTAGTGCTGAGGTGAATCCGAGCGTGCGGTCGGGTTTGCCATACGGACCGTTTCCATAGGAACGGTCATAAACCCTGTATTTTTATTCTCCAAAACCGGCAAATCCAAAATTTGCAACTAAAAGCGCGGAAAGGGAACCCTTGAATATCCTCATTCTCTGTTAAAAAAAAAACAACAACAACAACGACGACGACGACGACGACGACGACAAAACTGGCACACAAGTCACCAAACGACTGATTACAGGTATGGAAGACGAAGAAGATTAAGATCATTCACCAAGCAATAAAACAAGCCATGGTGAAAGCCAGGAGTCTATATTTTATGAACAAAAAGAAAGGCTTTCCAACAAAAATGAAGGTGGCTGATGATTTGAACACTCTCGTCCTCTACAAAGATGCAAATGAAATGAAAAGCCAAGCATCCGACCCGGCTGCATCCAATCTTGACCACCTTTTGTCAATGTATATTTTTTAGGAATACACGTAGGAAAAATGAGTGCGAGCCGGCAACAATTTCCGGTTTTCAGCGAAGTAGACAGTGACAGCGATACTTATGCCAGAGGAAATATTCATTTAACCTATCCAAGGACAATGTGTTTGAAAAATCGAGAATAGCACAACCTGCGGAGTACAAGTAGAATACGCTTTGCCGATTGGCGAAAGCGAAGATCTTTTTTTTGAAGCCGGAGGATTCGACAACTCCAGTCTAGTTTCACTTCAGTGAACGGTATGGTGGTTTTTATCACTACATTTCGGTTTCCGAGCTTAAGATGAAAACCGTCTCTTGTGATTTAACACTGAAAGAATTTGTTTTCAAACTCGTGGAGGCTTGGTCTTTCTTAGTTGCTCGCGTCATTAAAAACATGTCACGGCGAAAGCCCTTTGAATTAAAGAGACCGGAAGTGCTATTTATAGATAAAATGAATAAGTTTTGTCCGAGTGCCGTATGTAATAAATTACTTACCAACCTTGATTGCTCGAGGCGAACTGGGGAATATTGGCCCTCGGTCGTTTTGTACGGACCTCGCTGCGCTCGGTCCGCACTGCAACTACCGGCAGAACAATAATTCGAAATGTTGGGAGAATTGAATCGGTTAATTCACTTACTCTTAAAAATCATTCAGACTGTTCGCTCAACAACTAATTATTGTGTGTAATCCCGAGAGTTTACCGAACAATTACCGAACACTGAAGGCACCGACGAATGTGACTCGGCTACTAAACCGGAAAGTTTAGCCTCAAGCTGGCGTGGTTGAGAATCCAAGATGGCGGGTGCCAGTGTTGGTTAGCAAATAGTTACTCTTTGTCGTTCTGTGCTCATGATTTTGTTGGGTTAATTAGCTGCTTCGTGTCAGAGAAGCTTTCATTCGTCATTTAAATCGTGTACTTATTTTATTCTCACAGTAGTAGTACCCCGCAATTTTCGCTTGCTCGAGGAACTCGAAGAAGGTCAGAAAGGAGGTGACGGTTTTGTTAGCTGGGGCCTGGAGGACGACGACGATATGAACTTAATAACATGGACCGGTATGATCCTTGGTCCTCCAAGAGTAAGTTTTCAAGGCTATGAAATACTGTTGGTTTTATTTAAAACCTAGTTAAACGGATTACTTGCTTTGATTTTGTTAATTTAAAAGCTTAAAGTGCGTGAAATTATCAACTTGAAGCTTCATGAACCTCCCAATGCAATCACAACCTTCGGCGGACTTAGTTTGTATTTGGAAAGTAAAATCACGCTTGCTTTTTTCTTCTTGGAAATTTTTTTTCTACTTTTTTGATGTCGGGTACAGTGAAGCCTTTGCTCGCTTACCTTGACTTGATCTACGGGTTACGTGTTACGTTAGCGCTTGCACGCCTTAATTAGAACATCAGATCAAAATCGTTGTATTTTTTTATTAATCAGAGCAATATGATTGTTGTAAGCCTGATTCGAGTTCAAATAAAATGTTCTACTCAAATTACACCCCTTCTTATCAAAGGAAAAGCCAGAAAGATAATTTATGAGGCCGTACGGACAGTGCAGAGGGCAGTTTGGAAGTTGTTTGGGTTCCTATTCTTGATCAGTTGCAACCAGACATTTTGTTTCATCTACAGTTTTACCCAGTAAGAGTTCACCTCCACGATGACTAGTTCAGCCCTTTAATCGATAAAAACTAATCATTTGCTGCACCTTAGATCTTTTCACTCCCCAGAAATTCTCAGTAATTTGGAAGAATGTTCTTATCCAAATTACTATCTGTTAGTCACCAAAATATTACTGAAAACCAGGCTTTTGTTGTGAGTCAAGGCAATTCATTGTCTGCTTGTTTTTCTTTTGCTATGATCAGTCACTGCAATTTGGTGTGTTTGTGAGATTCTGTCCAAAAAAATCTATAACACTGTGGACTTGGAATTCAGCGCTCTAACCATTATGCCACCATGTCTCCAGCTAATTGGTCTTAACCCTTCAACTCCCAGAAGTGATTAATATTTTCCAGCAAAATAGGTGGTGAGAATATTCAAACCTATTAGGTAGAAGTCATTATCCTGATTGAACACCAAACTCATGCAACTAATTTACAAAGAAATGTGTAACAGCCTGAGGGAAGAATTAATTATTAGATCTTGGGAGTTAAAGGGTTAAGTCTTTACCTTTATATTACTTTTTCTAAACCTACTTGTATAGTACTATGTAATTTGTCCACTGTCATTAATTTTTAATTTAATTGTTTATGAATGAAAAAAGGAGTAATTTTGGTGATGTGAATCTGGCATGTTATCTTTTCTTTTAGCCTTTTTTTATTCTCTAAGAGGAATAAGCATCCAATTTCCCCCATTACTATTATCACTGCATCAAAAATTGTGCTCTTGAGAATAAAGGAAATGAACACAAGGTTATGAAGTTCATGATTATTAAGCAAATTCTCCTGGTAAATACTTTAGGAAACATATAGAGAACAGTATAGAGAACTTTGAAAGGGATGTTAGGGTTAACCTTTTCTTTGTTTTTATCTTTACTCACAGACTGTATATGAAAACCGAATATATAACCTCAAGATAACGTGTGGTCCTAAATATCCAGATGACCCACCTAATGTGCGGTTTAAAACAAGGATAAACATCACTGGAGTGAATGCTACTGGTGTTGTAAGTAGAAACAGACTTTTAGTTGCATGCAAATCTACTGTTCCTTACTTAATGGATATGCAAAGCAATGCATATACACTGTACATGTACATCTGATGTGTCTTTGTTATTCAATATAATGTTTCCATTGTGTTGCATTGTTGTGCAAAAGAAAGAACTTTTGGGTCTGAAAAAGAAATGAGTTGACAACCAAAATTTCCATTTTGAAATAAGCTATAATTTTACACACATGCACATCAACCACTTCATGTATTTGTCAAATGACAAGCTGTTGGAATAGACTTGCTTGATGACCAGAGAGTGCTCTCCCCCCCCCTCCAAAAAGACTAACTAATAGATAACATGAAAAAAAAATAGTTATTCTCCTGAAATGTCTTGAAAAGATTCTCAAACCAAAGTTCTTAAATTCTCACTGTAAACTTGAAGTGCCTCTTTTAAATTTATTCTCTGAAAACCCAGCAAAGAGCAATATTGAGGCACTGAGAAAACTAATGAAACAATCTCACAACTTTTGCAAGGAAACAAATATTGTGGTATGTTTAAATTTTGAGTGGAATTTTCCCTAAACATTGGTAATCACCAGTCAAATCATTTGAAGCTTGGCAAAAAACATTAAGTCTGAATTAGAAAATGAAAATGAAATAAAACAGCATATAGAAAATAGCCAGATGTTTCCTGGTAGCTGTTTCAGTTTCCTATTGTAATTCTTTGAAAAATGGTTAAAAACTTTGTAGAAATATTATTTGACTGTACATACATTTGATTAAAATCCCATTACATGGATTTCATTTCCCTGGTTCAATTACAATTTGTGGTTAAATACATTTAAACAACTGTTTTGGGCTGAAAAGAGTTATACAGTTTTAAACCAATCACCTACTGTATTGCTCTAGGTGAGTTTAAGAGTCCAATATGAATGAAAAAAATGA